CGCGCGTTGTCGTCCGGAGGTGTGTGTGTGTTTTTGTTTGTGTGAGGGCAATATGTTTGCACACGAGGGCAATATGTTTGTTTGTGTGTGCGTCTGTGAAAAGAGCAGAGTGAGACAAGCTAGGAGATCTCGACAGTTTTTGGAGTTTTTGCTCAATAAAATAGTTAGTCGTCTGTATTTACATTGACCCACTGGCAGCTAAAATCCACGCCTACACTATCGAGCGTGTATGAACTGTGATTACTTTTATATTGCTGATTAGCTGTTGGGCATTTCACTCTCTGGCTGAAGGCAGTCGACCAATCGCAACAGACTGTCATCGATCCAATCAGCGCAGATTAGCTTTGCGCTAAGGAGGAGTTTGGGAACAAATGAATCACTGGACGATTCATACGGGAGTCGCTGGGATAATTAGGTAAAAATAAATGCAGATTATAAGACCATGAAAGTGTTTTTTGACCTAGCATGCATATTAGACTGTTGTTGGAGACCCTTACAACCAAGATATGACCCTATTTCATGTATAATATGGGCTCTTTAATGCTGCCATGTATTTGTAATAAAAAAAAAAATTGTATTATATTTGAAGTCAATGGGGCCAAAACAGCTGCCAACATAACAAAAGGGTAGTCAATCTGAACAATAGACAAGGGTTAAAGTGAAAAAAAGAGAGAAAACGAAACAATGCAGCACTTGAGAACCAAAGAGGTCGCATTAGTAAATGTCTGTCTGCATTTGCATATAGGATGATGACAGATTTGTTACAGATTTTTCGATACGCACCAGGGAAACGCCATCTGCAAACCCCTGCAGACATATTGTAGGAACAGTTTGTCTGAATGGAGAGGCATTGACTGTGCGCCTGATGGGGTGAATTCAGCAGGGAAACGTCCTCCTGCCAGGCGCCACAGAAACGATTAGCTGTATTGTTTAATCTCTACGTGATTCTTGACTGCTTGAATTTGTGAAAGGGCAAAAACATCCGTAGGACTGAAGCGAGACAGGAGAGCTTCAGGAGGTCTGGCACTCTCGACAGCTTTTAAAAAGGGTTAGTGAGAGTGAAAGAACGGCGGAGAGAAAGAGAAAATAATGACCCGTTTTTATCCTTCAGACTCAACCCTGTTTACTTTTCTTAATGCATGTTCCTGGTTGTGTTGTGAATGATTCACCAGTCCTCCATATTCCATTTAAAGCACATTATAACGGTGTCTTCCTCTGAAATGACCTTCCTTTTCCATTGACATTACTAATGCTGCGCCGCCTTTTTTTCTGACTGTGCTAAACTGATTAAAGAAAAATGGATGTGTAATTATAAGCCCCGGCCTCGTCAAACTTGATTACAATCTCCTTCAACATCAGTGAAGAGTTCTCTCACAGTCACATGATGACCATACCAGAACATGTCAGCTGTGAAACTTTAAGTATTCATTAACATTACAAATACAGATTTCATAAATCTGATACAAAGTACATTTTATTTAATATATTCTATAGAATAAAACTCTCTTCATCATAAAATGTGCAAACTGGTGGCTAAAAATAAATGTGCATACATTTTGTGCAAAACAACAACTATAAATTTAAATATAAATATATAATACATTTTTAAGTAAAAAAAAAAAACAAAAAACTATACAATACTGTTTCAAAGTTTGAGGTTGGTAAGATATTCTCACCAAGATTGCATTAAAAACCAACCTCATTCTGAAAACGTAGCCCTATATACATTTCTGGAGATCGCAAAAAATATCCCAGCAGATACGTTTTTTTGCAGTTTTTGTTTTTGCAAATTCGCCAGAGGCTGCAGTGTATGCATTTGAGAAACCAATTTATCTTGCAAGTGCCCTTCATTCATGCTGTTCTTATGTAAATTCACCAGAGGCCGCTGTCGACTGACTGACCAACTGACCGACCAACTGACCGATCTCCCGACTCACCCTGTTCTCTAAACCCAACCAATAGTGTTTTAAAAAACACTGATTGACCAGCGCCCACCCGCTTCCCTGAACCCAACTGATTTTAAAAGCAATCCAGAAAAAGAAAAGCCCCCTGATTTTTACCATGTTTTCAGATTTTACCACATTCCAACCCTGTTATTTACTTGTTTATTTTATTTTTTGGCTTTTGTTACACCTGCTTTGTGAAAGCATTCTTCGTCAACTCCTTTCTGCATCTCAAGTAAGCCGACGTACATGGCGAGCTAACTGGACGAACTGCAGTGTGAACAGGGGCGGATTTCTAAGCAATTCCAGGTATGGGGCCGAAGCACTGAAGCACTTTTCTCAGTAGATTTTGTTTTTAAATGCATGTTAAAATATATATATTTTAAGTAGAACCAATATTTTTTTAAAAAAATCTAAATATACAATAAAGTCACAAATAATAAAAATATATATATGTCTGTACATATAGTTAGTTTGAGAACAAGCCATATTTGTGATTAGATTTAAATATTTGTATGTGCAGAATGTAAGGAACGTTGCATTATTCATGAGGGCCCCCGGTTTAGAAAAGAAGTAAAAACATAAAAATTGTATCATTTTAAATCATATAAAAACTTATTATAATATATTATAAATAGCTACATTTCCATCCAGTTTTATGCGCATTTTAGATATGCATATAAAAAGCCGGTTGATGGAAAGCCAAAATGTGCATAAATGTTGAAAATGCGCATAAAAAATGTACATCACTGAGTAGAACAAACCTTTTATTCGATAAGAAAAAAAAATGCACGCAAACTGTGATGGAAACACTTATCGAGCAAATTCCAGGATTCGCATTAAAAAAAGGTCAAGATTTTGTTATAAGAGATCATGTGATGATAAAAATGTGTGTGAATGGGCACACTGTAAAACATCTGAAATGTTGTTTTGGTCATTCTAAAACGCCTCAACCATCTCAGTATTAGTGTTATTATATTATTAATGACCTCCAGAATCAAGAGCATCTGTGCTCCACATCTCACAGCCTCAGACGCCACCACGTGTTCACTGCGTGTCAGGATTGCCTTCTGAGGTGCAAGTCATTTATTAAATAAAGAAAAGATTCACGCAGATTCACTTATCGCAACTAATTCTATTTTTACTGTTAATAATTTGCGCCAGACAATCAGGAAGTGGCGATTTTGTTCTCATTGACTCGTTGGATGGAAACGCTGCTTTATTCGCATGTCTTTAATCTAAATCCAGTTTTGCGCATAAAGTTAATTCACATTTTTGGATGGAAACATAACTAATGTTAAAATAGATTTTACAACATTTGATGGAATATTTTTTAACGAGCTATACGATTCATTTAGGCAATTCTTGGCATTGGTTGGGGCCCCCTAATTTCCCAGGGCTCTAAGCAGCTGCTTACCTCACTTACTGGTTAAGTCTGCCCCTGAGCGTGAAAGCCGTTCATAAGGATGTAAGGGGTAAGCTGGTAAGTGCAAAAAGGAACAGCGTCATACCGCCCCATAGCATTAATTTTGAAGATGATATGCAGCCATACGTACCTCTGGCTACATAATACACGATCTCCAGAAATGTATATAGGGATACATTTTCAGAATAAGCCTATGCTGTTAAAAACAGTACTATTGGAAACATTATTACACCATAAAGATGTTTTAGCTTTATCCATACAGTATAATTATCCATATGACAGCATGTTTTGAAATACAAATGATAAAAATTTCTGTACTGTCACCTTTGCTCAACCGAATGCCTTCTAAATGCATACATGTAAAAGAATCTGTATTAATCCATACAACAGTTCTTATAAAAATAATATTCCTATTTACGTCAACAATTATGATCATATACAAATGAACATTCCTATCAAAAATGTTTTTCCTCCTTTTTTTGTAGTTTTGTATTTGATTGATATGAGCACTGGCTCAATGATTTACCTGCTGCTATTATAACTGTTATTATTATTATTATTATTATTATTATTAATATTATTATATAAAAGCAGTGATTTATATTGTAAGTTAAAGGTGCAGTAGGTGATCTTCCACAATGCTAACAGCTTAGCATAAATCTCTGAATCACAGTCCCTCCCCTGCCGTCTAGAGCCACGCCTCCTGAAACACGAGCACAGCAAAAGAACCCACTCTCATGTGTTAAAAGCGACTAGTCCGGCGGCGTGCAGGAATTACACTCATTACTAAGCCAAACTGACATGCTATTTCAGAGTGAATATTTAAAGTTGCATGGTAAACAATATAGGCAGAGACTAGGCGGAACAGCGCTATTTACTTGTGTTTTATTGTTAAACTAAGTAAAATCTACATTATCGATGCTTTAAGAGGACCTTTGAAACTGAAAATAGTCTCATTAATCTTTCACCGGAAGATTTTAGTGGCTGAACAACACTTCTGTGAAGATATAACCCATTTGTAACAAAAACATCTAACGTTACATCAGCTTTGCATGAAGCTAAAATAGTTTTAAAACAGAACATTAGGCCTACCTGTCTAAGAGAAATTCTTTAGCCATTGTGTCATTCTTTCTCCAGCGTGCAAAGTTAACTCCAATATTGATTCAGGTTTTTAAAAAGTTTTTAAAAAGTTTTGATTCAGCATGTCTCTCTCTCTCGTGTATGCGCAGCACGTCTATGCACAGCACGTCTCCCCCCCAATACACCCCCCACTATCCTCTAACTTAAACTCCTCACATTAACTGCACTGTTCACATTTGCACATTTAAAATTTGCACATATTCACTGCACCACATTGCACTGATTTACTTATTTGAACTGTACATACCCACTGCATATAGACATCTGTAATTATGCACACACCGACTGGACATATACATTTGCAATCATGCTTATCTGCACACTACTGATTATTAATAGCAACCTGTACATATATTCATATATTGTAACATATACACTTGTTATCATGCTTATGTATCTGCACACTACTGATTAGTAAAAGCAACCTGCACATATATTCATATATTGTAAATCTGTTAATGGCTAATCTGTAAATATCACTATAGTTTTTCTATAACTGCACTTTATACCTTATACCTGTATCCTGCACTTGCTGCTATTGCACTGCTGGTTAGACCTAAACTGCATTTCGTTGCATTGTACTTGTACATGTGTAATGACAATAAAGTTGAATTCAATCTAATCAAATCCTAAAATGCCGGTCGGTGGAGCTGCGTACAAACGGCTGCGCAGTTGTTCAAATCTGCATTTGCTGACAGACAATTTGACCTACTTATCGGAATTATGAGAGATGTCGGCCCGACTCTATTTAATTGGATGAACATTTTTTAGTTTTACGCCTCACCCAGAATTTAAAAAATATTTATTAACATATTTAGATCATTTACTTTAATCATTACTTTTGGACTGTGAAGAGACTTTCAACCAGCACAACACAAAATGGTTCTGAAAACAATCACCTACTGCACTTTTAAGCAATGGCCACAAACAATGTTTACATTTACTATAAAGTGCTCTCAAAGTAAAGTGCTCTACAAATAATTCAAGGAAATGTAAATAATGAAAGAGAAAGTTTGGGAAAGAAAATATGAAAAGAGTTCCAGAGTTCAGAAAAGAAAGTCTGATGTGGGCGGGGCCTCTTATTCTGCTGGGATTGAGGGCGGAGCACAAAAGTCTGATTCTGATTGGCTGGCTTATACATCGTTCTTGTTGTCATATTTAACATCAGGGCTGCAACCGAATCTGTCAGAGTTCTTCAGGATGCCTTTCGGTTTAAATGTCGGACACTGAACAGGGATTTCCGGAGACTGGATGGGAGGTGGGGTCGGTGGCGGGGTACAGTCAAGTTCCAGACATGGAGGAGAAAGAAAAGAGCGTGATGGGACAAGAGATGGAGGGGATGGAGGTGGGCTCCCTGGAAAGTCTGATATGAATTCCAACAAAATCTCGCAAGGCTCCACTGTCATGTAATTTGAGATGCTGGAGCTGAACTTCCTCACAACCGGTGGAGTCGGTCGCTGAGCTGTGGGTGGAGGAGGAGTCTCACCATCGTCCCCTGTTATGATAATGCATGGCGGGCTGTCCTTGCCAACAGAAATTGTACTATACGAAAGCATGATGGTGCCCAGCAGTGGGTCGTCAGGATCCAAAGATGCGTAAGAGTCACGACTTTGCCTGGGGGTTCGATCAGCCAAAGCCTCAAACTGTCTGGCCTGTTCTCTGACTGATAGTTTTGTTTCAGTACTCCGACCACTTTGATCTGCATCAAGCTCCTCCCTGCTGTCTGTAAGCTCCGCCTTCAGCTGTTGCTCCTCCCACTGGGCCGGGTCCCAGAGAGCTTGTCTGCGCAGAGTACTGTAAAATCCTCGTCCTCGAATTCTGGATGGCAGTGACCATGAGGTGAATTGACCACAGGGGCTTGTTGGAGAAGGTGGGTCACTGTACAGAAAACCACTAATCCTTCGGACCTCCAAGTTAGGTTCCGGACTACTAGATAGGCCATCCTGGAAAATGGGATTTTGAGTAGTGAGTGGCCGTTCGTCTGACAGGAAGGTGATGGCGCTTTCTGATTTGGGAAGCTTGCTGCGCATCTGTCCGTTTCCAGTGGTCTGTTTGTGAGCAGCAATGGCACGCGAGGCGAAGTTTCGTATGAGGCTCTGTCTGTCCGCCTCCTCGATTACAGACCTTCTGCGTCTTCTGCAGACCACGAGAGAAAACCAAAAGGAGAGAGGAATGAAGCACGTGTGTGAAAAGAGATGGGAAGGAATTGAAGGAAGAGAACAGCCGTGGGAGCATAGCATGCTAATGAGCCACTACACAAAACAAATCCTTCACTTTAATGGACTTTGAAAGAGCTAAACCTAACAAATTTGCTTACGATATTAGACTTTGTACAAACTGAAGAATGTATTTGATAGTTGATGATTTTGCTAATACTTCAGGAGACTTTATTCTGCATTCAATTTAGTGCATTTTTAATGCCCTTCCGGGGACGTGCAAAACAGACATTAGTCAAAGTTCTCATATGGGGAACACTTTAGTTAAGGTCACAATTTATGCTATTAACTACTGGCCTATTGCCTGCCTATTAAGATATTATCTGTTCTTTAGTAGTTATAAAGTATGATCTTATTCTGCGTCCCTAATCCTACCCAAAACCTAAACACACCTTACTAACTATTATTAAACAGTTAATTAATAGTTTATTAACCTTTATTTGTTTTGTTTAATGAATCTATTAATCAACCTCAGTTCCTGATCAAAACTACTAAATTGTTTAGAAAATTATAGGATTTTAACTATTTAATTGTCAAATTCACAATCATGTCACTGATTTATTGAAAAAACACAAAATAATGTATTTTCAACATAGAAATGAATAGGGTATATGCAGAGCTAGTGTTTTTTTTCATACTGATAAACATCCGGTGAACAGTTAATGTGATTTTTTTTTTTCCATTTCATACGGTTCCTTTTACAGTATTGACATTGTAATGTAATTAAAATATAATCAGTTAAATACACTTTGCCATTCATTTAGTTGCTCAATCCTAAAACGAGACAAAAAGCGGTTTAAACGCATGCGCCCGTCACGATCGACAGGCTAGCGCAGAAGCTCCATTGAATATAATGGGGTAAAATAAATGTTCATATTTTAAAGACATGGTGAGGAAAAATGTCATTTAATGCAGTGCTTCTTGTACAATCTGAGGCTCACTTTATATCGGATATCACTCAGCCAGTGGAGATCGCTGATTTTTAAAGAAAACAGACCTTAAATGCACTGATTTTGTAATGTCATACAGTTTACCGGAATTGCTTTACCCAGGTTACTGAAAAATTAAAAGTACTTCAGTATACTCCCTCATATACCCTATTGTGGACTTTTTCTTACCTTTTATCACAGGCTTGGACATGTGTATGATTAATAACAACATTGACTTTGATGCATTATTTTTTCCCCCTAATTTACTGTTGGTGGCTGTTTTTTGCCCTATTGACTTCCATTTAAACCACATTTGGTGGCGCATAAATACAGTCTTTGTTTTTGTTTACTCCATGTAGTTCCAAGAGCTGAGATGCATATTTTGATTTTCTCAGGCACAATAGTAAGTGCGTAAAGGTCACACTTTAATTTGCTGTTATACTCCATATAATATCCAGAAATATGCTTTTTTTTTTGCACAGGCCTATCTAAAGGGTTAATGGTGCCAACGGACGATTATATAAGTGTGAATTGTACATCTTGTCATGGTTTTATAATAAAAAATGTGGTTAATATGTAAGTCAATGGGGCAAAAACAGCCACCAACAGTAAATTAGGGAGAAAAAAAGGTAAATTAATCAAAAACAATGGATAAAAGGCAACGTTGTTTAACATGTGCAAGAATTTGATAAAAGATTTTTAAAAATACAGTTCACTTACTATTTATGTAAAAAAAAAAAAGTAATTTTGTGTGTTTTTGCACCAAATTAATGACATCATTTATGAATTTGGCAAATAAAGAGTTAAAATCCTGTAATTTTCTAAACACTTTGGTAGTTTTGATCAGGACTGAGCTTGATTAACAGATTTATGCAAAAAATAATTTGAAAAACATATCTGATGCATTTTAATTCAGTGGATGTTTTCATCCCGAACATAACAAAGGTTAGTAAGTTTGCCCAGAGTGTATCTTTTTTTTTGTTTTTTTAATCATTCTGCTAGCTGAAACACAGAAAAAAGTTATGGCCAAATTAAGACACAAAATCAACCCCAGAGTAGATGAAAACATCCCCTACAGCACATAAGGGTTAAGCTAGTAGTGTTAGTTTATGATTTGTTAATACCATGAATTGTGACCAAAACTAGCGTTACCCTTGTAATGATTAAGCTGTTAATTTATTTATTTAATTTTTGCATGAAAAGACATTTAAAACCTATATATGAGCATTTTTTTGTGTTTAGAATTGTAGGGTTCAATGGGGCTAAAGGCTAAAGCACTATATAAGATACATTTTCTTCATATAGGGTTAGTTCATCCAAAAATGAAAAATGTGTCATTGATTACTCACAATCATGTTGTTCAATACTCTAAGTCATTCATTCATCTTCAGGACACAAATTAAGATATTTTGGATGAATTTAGAGAGCTCTCTGACCCGTCACAGGATTGTGAGATATTCACCGTCCAAAAAGGAATCAAAACACATGGTCAAAACACTCCATGTTACTTCAGTGGTTCAACTGTACTTATATGAAGCTCCAATAAGAATTTGTGAGACAAAAAAACTGTAAAAACTTTTTTTTTTACTCCAAAAAAGTAAAAAGAGCTCTCTTTGGAGGGTCAGAGATATTTCGAATTTCATATAAAATATCTTAATTTGTGTTCCAAAGAAGAACGAAGGTCTCAGAGGATTGGAATGACATGAGTGTGAGTATTTAATTACAGAATTTTCATTTTAGTTTTCATAGCTACACTCCCAGAAATAAAAGGTATGTGAACTGTCACTGGGGTGGTACCTTTTCAGAAAGTATATGTTTGTACTTAAAGGGTCCATATTGGTACCTCAAAAGTATATATTAGTACCTAAACATTTTAAGAGGAACACTCTTGTACTTTTAAGTTATTAATATGTACCCTTGAGGTATTACTATAGACGTTTTAGGTACAAATGTTTACCTTTTGAAAAGGTACCAGTCCAGTGACAGCTCACGTACCTTTATTTCTGGGAGTGTTTGCATGTAAAGCATTGTTACTGAGTAGAAACAGCGATGATTAAAAAAATAATAAATGAATTAATTAATGAATAACTGCATTAAAAATAATCATTCAATAATCTAAATCGAGGTAAAGTGTTCAATTAATTGTGTTTTAGATTTTAGGCCATTTCGCTTAGCCTTAAAGTATCCTATTATTACCCTTCCTGTAAAACAAAAGCAGGGACTGCCATGCTGTCTCTCAACACATCAACATCAGAGTCTCAGAAAATGTGAGAGGAATAATAAAGGATATTAAAGAGGAATTCATTCAATATTTTTTTTTTATGGAACACATCATAATAAGATGAACACAAGCATTCCCGGTGTGCCCAAAATCAAAATTGTGTCTCCAGCTATGAAGCGCAAATATCATATACTAGCACTCATAAACCAGTCTGAAATCCCTATCTGTTCACATAATCTTTGTTCAAACATCAATCAAGACGATCTGTGGCAACAGCCAGTCTCAAAGTGAAGGACAAGAAGTCTATTTGTTTGCTTTGAGGACAGAATCACGGGGAAGCACAACAGCCGGAAAGAGAAGGCTTTATCTAGCTAAACTACTAACGCTTTAATCCACTACAGAGCCACACAAACACACATACTGTACAAATCTGTGCATTTCTGGTCATCGTCGAATAATAGCTGTTCTTTTTGAGCACAAATAGATTCAACGTATTTCTTGAAATGCAGATGAAAAGGTAAGGAAAATCTGCTAGCAGCTGCACAGGGACGAGAATCTACAATCTGAACCGTGAGGGATTTTAAAACACACTGTTAGCAGAATGTAAGAAGACGACTGCGGGGAAATACAGCATATTTTATGTTACTCACTGTAGTCCAAGCCTGGAAAATACAGAGAGAAGATGAGAATGACTGAAATATGAAAAGAAAAATACATGTAGACAGGAAAGTGATGACAGTTGAACACAGAAAAGCCCTGTTCACATTTGGGATTAACATGCATTTTCGGGGTGCAAATCAGAAACATAGACTAAAACTAGATTAAAAGGCGGCTGCACACTCAACATGTTTCACAGGTGTAAAGTTTTGTTTTTTTATGTTATTTACATAAAGTAATATGCACTGTGTTTGGTATTTTTGGGGAAAAGCCCTGGAAGGTCATAATAAATAAAATCCAGCTAAATAGTATCGAAATATGCTCTGAAATTAAAATGCATGTTAGTATCAGATGTAAAGAGGAATGAGATGTGAAAATGAGCAAGTTAAATAGAGAGAAAATACAACAGCTCATCCATTCATCAGCCATCTAAAGGGAATTTGTTATTGTTATATGATAAATAAGTTAATATTTCAGTGGATTGGCAAAGTAAAGTTAATACTGGTAACATTTCACCTCAAAATTAATCACAATATTAGCTCTGCACAGTTTAGTTCCAACCCTAATTAAACACACCTGATCAAACTAATTGAGTCCTTCAGGCTTGTTTGAAACCTACAGGTAAGTGTGTTGGAGCAGGGTTGAAACTAAACTGTGCAGGGCTTCGGCCCTCCAGGAATTGAGTTTGACACCCTTGTTTTAAACCATTAAGAAAATGCTACTTGAAATGAATTGAAAAATATGATGTAAATATATGAAGCATTATGAGGGATAAAATATTTCCCATATTCAAATTAAAACTGCAATAATCAATGAATATAAATGCATTTTCTGGAATTCTGCAGATTTCATCAAGTCGAGACATTTTAGGACCATCAAGAACAACATTTTAGATTTATACTGGTTTAAACACAAAGGAGATTTTCTAATGGCCCGGTATTATCATGAGGGTTCGTGTAATTGTTTTTAGTTTTCTTTCCCTAAATAGAGAATTTAATTTAGGGGTTTTGCTGTACAAATGTCTAATGACTGTTGTGAATTGTATCTCTTTGCAACAAAAATAAGGTGTTATTGAGATTGCAAGTGAAATAATCAATGTTGGCCCCATTGTGTAGCTTTACAAATGTTAATTTCAAAATTAAGACCTGTTTAACATTATTTAAGACCTAAAACACAATATTTCAGTGAATTTAAGCCTTTTTTTAAAGACCTAAAATTTTGTTTTTGAAATGTAAGAATTTTTTTACTTTTTAAGACCCCGCAGATACCCTGATTTTAGAAAACAATAACAAACAATAGTGACAAAACACACCAAATTTACGAAGGTATCAACATGTTTTCATTAGATCAGAATAAATAACATTACAAGCTAATTAAAAACAATTTATAACTGTGCATTCACACCGAAACCAGCGACAACAGCAAAGTAGCTGAAAGGAATTAATTTTCAATGGGAGCCAGTGACGATAGATAAGCGATGAGGAGTGGTGAGGCGTGTCTTCACTGGTGTGGGCATCGAGTTGAAATCAAGTTAACTTTATGGTAATGAGTTATTGCGGCAAGCAATTGGAATGTAGAAGTCCATCGCATGAGAGGATTCCAGAGAATACAGTCTGGAACACCAAGGGCTCTATTCTAATGATCTAGGCGCAAAGTCTAAAGCTCGTGGTGCAAATGCATTAAGGTTGTGTCCGAATCCACTTTTGCTATTTTAAGGACAGAAAAATATGATTTGCACTGTGGCACATGGTCTAACAAGGTTGTACTTATTCTCCTAATGAGATATGGGTGTGTTTTGAGCATAACGTGCATTAAACCAGAATCTCATCTTAAAATCCCATTTAAGAGTCATTTTGCATTGCGCCAGGGCACATTTGCCATTTACACGTCGGACTTTGTAAGTGGAAAAACTGAACGCTTCACTAGCGAGAAAAACAGACCATCTGCAGCATGAGGATGGAGAATGAGTCTCCTCCTTTTGACCTCTTTACTTTCTCTTTACTTTACTTTTTACTCTTTACTGCTTTACTTTTGTGGATAAGGAAACAGAATTGTACGCACTACACTGAAGACATACATTAGGCTACATGTTTAATTTTGTTTTGTAAGCACAAAGATTTGTTTCAAAACTATTTCTAAATTCAGTTCTAATTTCCAAAAAATTTTATCTCCTCAAAATAGCAACGCGCCAACAATGCACCTTAACACAACTTCTTTCTAGATTCGAACACCCAGGAGTCCACAAATCGGCGCAAATGAATTTGCTATATAAACGACTTGGCACAAAATGGGAAAATTAGGGTTGCATTGGTCAGAAAACAGCAACATATAACGCCAAACACGTCTTGCACCTTATTGTGCCAGGTGTATGATAGAGACCCAGGAGTTTAGTTATTGCGGTCGCCGGATTTCCAATTATTTACGATGTTTTCTTACAGAGATATACATTAAAAAAAGTTACTGGCCAGTTACTAATGTGCATTAATGTCATTGGTAACTATATTGACAGTACAAAACAGTATTACTGCTTTAGAATATTTCACCCACACAACAACTTGATCTTTCATAGTTAAAAAATGTGATAAAAAGGGTGCAACATTTTCACACTAGAAAGCATGTTTTCTTTGACGCTCTGGCCACCTTCGGTGAGCACGTAGAGTAAAACCTTCTAAAACTAATTTCACAAAATATGATTTATATTTCACAAATATATGATATATATTTTGTTTAAAAAATGGGAACAAAAAAAAAATCTGTTTAAATATCAAATTAAGAAACAGTAATAAAATTGAATATTAAAATGGGTAAATGTTAAAATACAGTACTGTGTTACTGTTAAAATACAGTATATGTACTAGATGGCCTCATAAATATATACACGTGTGTGTTTACTACTTATTTTTTTTTCGTTTGAGGTAAAATGCTAATATTAAAACAAACATCATTCAATCAGTGAATCTGTCTTTCTCTCTGAGTGTTAAAGAGAGATTTAAAGACTATTTTGCAAGTCTGCTGACAAGCTACTATTTTTTTATTCATAGCCAACAAAAGAACAAACGCTTTGGCCAAACGCACAAGCAAACAAAGCCCGCCCTGATGTTGCTTTCTGTTGATGGTATTAAACTGCTGTTCAGGCCCACAGCCCAACAATCTCAGCATCTACACTAATGGATTCAATAGAAAACCCCGTCTTTTCCCCTGTCTATTTGTGTTAGCAACTGCATTTGTTTTGATTGCATTAAATCAAAAGCACTTTAAAAGGCTTTACCTGAGGGACGCAGATGCTGTGCTGCGGCCATAATCTTTTAATCTATTAACATTTCATTCCACTCACAACAGCCTTTAGCTTGGCAATGGACTCCTGCTGCACTAAACACATGTGTCCAGCATGCACATCTCCAATCATTAATGTTATATTAAAGCCAAAAGCACAGCTAATTTAATATTAATAAAAAACATTCAGGATGTCAAAAAGGAACAGTATGTTGCTCTGGAGAATTAAACTAAAACACTAATTTATACTAAAAGTGAGGGAAATCTATAAAGGGATAGTTCACCTTAATTAAAGCGATAGATAAGCCAGAAAAAAAAAAAAAAAACGGTCAACTTATTAAACCTGATTTGTATATTTAATTTAATTAAGCAGAACATTAGAGGTCCAATGAAATTAAAATAACGTTTTTTTAGATGTTAGTATGATAGCTTTTAAGGTACCTATAAGCAAGTGTGGTCCAAAACACTGACAACATTCATGTTTAGAAGAAATACAACTGAAATAAACATGTAAAGCTTGTAGTTCGTCACTTATACTTAAACGGATCAACATTTTTGTTCATGTCACCTCATACTTAGTGTTGCCAGATGTCGCAGACTGAGTCCAGTGGTGTGTGTCGTTGGGAGATCACAACTGTTGTAAGCATTTGTATGTGGAAGAAGCTTCTCATTCCTTTTCATTTGATGCACTTGAGCTCAACCACTCTCACTGGCAGAGCTGATATAAAAACAAAACTCTATTGGCTGCTTTTTTAAAAAGGGGAGGAGCTAAACTATGACCCACCCTTTCTTTTTGTTTTGGTTGAGATTTCTTTAAACATTAAATAAAAAAGGCAAATTTCAAAGCATTTAATGGGATTTTTAAAGAGAAAATGACATGGGCTTTTTAAATATTAAATTAATTAATTTAAATTAACATTAGGATAATGATGCTTGAATAAATGTTCAGTGCCTTGCACACTGTAAAAAAAAATTCTTCCTTAAATTTTTTAGTTGAATCAAACAAACTTAAATTAGTCAAACGAATAATATTTAAACTTAATATGTAAACTTTATATAGCTAAAGACTTGTTGAAACCTGATTAATGTATTAAATCAAGTTTAAGTAAGATAAAAACTTTTGTTGTTGACATTTTTGTCATATAATTGTTTTACAATGCATTAATTGTATAATATTGGCTCATAACATCTTAATGCTTTGTCAAAAGCCAATGGAATTAATTTCAACACAGGCTTATAGATATGTACCCCTGTATACATTTCAGGAGATCACATAAAATTTCCCAGAAGCTATGTCTATTTTGCCATTTTTGTTTTTCGGAAATCCACCAGAGGCTGCTGTGTGTGCTTTTTGAGATCTCAAATTTCTCTCGCGAGTGCCATTTGCGCTTGTAGTTCTCGTAAATCCACCAATAATGTAAATTCCCCAGCGGCCGCTGTTGACCTACTAGCTAACTGACTGACTGACCGATTACTACACCAGCCCTCAAACCCAACCGATACTGTTTACAAAAGCACCGATTGACCCACCCAGCCACTTCCCTACACCCAACCGACAGTGTTTTCAAAAGCAATCCAGAAAAAGAAAAGCTCTTGCGGCGGCTGGATTTTCACCATGTTTGTTTTCACCATGATCCCACCATGTTCTCACCCTGTTATTTACTTGTTTATTTTATTTTATTAGTCTCTGTTTTTGTTTTACCGGCTTTTTGGAACCGTTCTTTTGCCAAAC